TCACTGTCTTGGGTGTTTTTTTGGCCCCCATTCTTTTAATTTAATGTTAATTTAGGAAGATAAGAAAATCCATCATCCGTCATCACACGCACGAGTTCCACAATTCACAAATTCTGCGATACGAAGCAGGTTTTTATTTCGCTATTCAGCTAGCTCTAAGAATAGGTTGTTGCAATACTACTTGTCGATAATATACTACCACAAAGGCGACACTTGCATTCCGAAAACAAAGCGGATTTCGGGTAAATAATCTTTGGAGTTTCCTTTCGCTGTGCCATAGCTTGAGAGCTACTGTATACTGTACTTTGACTTTGTATAAGTGTGCATTCGACCTTTATTTTCTTTGCGTTGATAAATAATGGCTCCACTTCAAGGTGTAAAACAGACCTCCAGCCATGCAAATTATATCAAGTAGGTGTAAAAAGCTTTCAAGCGCCAGGCGGTGACATATTTCATAAAAGATAACACAAAAACCGACAAAATCCAAAATATGGATGAATACAGAGCGTAAATGGCCGTATTTTCCATATAGTCTAGGACCTGTATATGAGTTTGTATGCATTTCATTTAGCACAGGTAATCTCAACTGTTTTAGGGTAAAATGACCATGGCGGTCAACATGGCATATGTGCCAAAAGCTGAATCCGGGACGAAAGTCCTGAAAATGACCCTGCCCTGAAACGGCAGTGTCGACATAGCTCTAACTTCAGAAAACAAAAAGCGATAGTCTTTCTGAAGTGCTTATAGTGTTTAGAAGGGTTGCTTTTAGGGGTGGTCATTGGAAGAAAAAATTTGTCCAAGTATAATATTTTACAAGAAAATGACATGCACCACCCCAGGTAAATGGCTAATTATGCATAAAATCACTAATATGCCTGGCAGAAATTAAATATTCTTATTTCCTAAAAAAAATTATCACTGGGTGAAAAACTATGCTCAATTTAATATAAATATTGTTGATATCATAAGGATTGTCATTGTTTTCTTTAAATATAATACATTTTATTTCACTTACCCCCCACGATTTCAGCCATATTTTGCAGTCTTGTTTGCTTTTTATCGCCGAATTTCGCAAATATCATCCAGTTATTGTACTTTTACATAATCATAAATGGCTGAAGAAGATTTCAAAGAAGGTTTCATCCACTTTTGAAACAGTGCAGAGTGTATGTTATCTTCGATATTGTGTCCTTCAATTTTTCGTCAAATTGCCACCATTTTAATGGCTCGTCACTTCTCTGCCCGATAAATGACAACTTCTTCGTTTTCATATGTATTTAGATAACATTATCCAAGAGCACTTCATTGTAGAATAGTCCCAATCCAAAAATTGGAAATATTATTTGTACTTGGGAGGAAAAAATCTCCCATAATAGTTGTCCTGTCAGAATTCAAAAGAAATAATTTAAAAGTCACACGCAAGTTCACGAAAACACCTCATGGACTACATGACAGGGGGTGAATATTTTCACGAAACGTTTGTTCGCCACCACAGCAACCTAACTAAATTGTATTATATTTTTTGTATTTTTATAATTGATGATAAAAATACGCAAATATTTGTTTTTATCATAAATCACAAATATACAATAAATATAATGCACTTAGTTAGGTTGCTGTGGCCTGTGGTGGTGAACAAACGTTTCGTGAAAATATTCACCCCCTGTTATGTAACCCACGAGGTGTTTTCGCGAACTTGCGTGTGACTTTTAAATTACTTCTTATGAATTCTGACAGGACAACTATTATGGGAGATTTTTTCCTCCCAAGTACAAATTATATTTCCAAGTTTTCGATTGGGACTATTCTACAATGAAGTACTCTTGGATAATGTAATCTAAATACATATGAAAATGAAGAAGTAGCATTTATCGGGCAGAGAAGCGGCGAGCCATTAAAATGGCGGCAATTTGACGAAATATATAAGGGCACAATATCGAAGGACACAATATCGAAGATAAAATACACTGCACTGTTTCAAAAGTGGATGAAACCTTCTTTGAAATCTTCTTTAGCCATTTATGATTATGTAAAAGTACAATAACTGGATGATCTTTGCGAGATTCGGCGATAAAAAGCAAACAAGACGGCAAAATATGGCTGAAATCGTGATTTCGTGGGGGGTAAGTGAAATAAAATGTATTATATTTAAAGAAAACAATGACAATCCTTATGAAATCGACAATATTTATATTAAATTAAGCATAGTTTTTCACCCCATGATAATTTTTTTTAGGAAATAAGAATATTTAATTTCTGCCAGGCATATTAGTTATTTTATGCATAATCAGCAATTTACCTGGGGTGGTGCATGGTCATTTTCTTGTAAAATATTATACTTAGACAAATTTTTTCTTCCAATGACCACCCCTAAAAGCAACCCTTCTAAACACTATAAGCACTTCAGAAAGACTATCGCTTTTTGTTTTCTGAAGTTAGAGCCATGTCGACACTGCCGTTTCAGGGCGGGGTCATTTTCAGGACTTTCGTCCCGGATTCAGCTTTTGGCACATATGTCATGTTGACCGCCATGGTCATTTTACCCTAAAACAGTTGAGATTACCTGTGGTAAATGAAACGCATACAAACTCATATTCAGGTACTAGACTACAAGCATAACTGTGTACACATGCATCGTTAGTTAAATCGTACCCATTCCCTACAACAGTCATTCACAATGGAGGATGAAGACGAGGAAGATTGTCTGTTGGCACTTGCACTTGTTATAATTTTTAAAATATAAAACCCAGAAGATTTTGGATTTGAGATATATTTCGACGTAGAAAAACAAGTGGTGAATTTCACAATCAAGTACCTGAGCCAAATTTGACTTGGTGATCGAGAACTGTATTTTAGGTAATGAAAAATTTCATTGAACTCTCTTTGTATCTCTTAACCGCTTTGTGAAATCAATCACATAACTAGAGTGTTCTATTTAATTGCAGATAAATGCATATGTCTCCAGAATGTTATGTGAACCAATATCACCAGCAGAGAGATTACCCCTTACAATAAGGTTCTTAGCTTCAGGAAGTAGTCAGACATCAATGTCATTTACCTATCGTGTTGGAAGAACGACTGTCAGTAACATTATAAGAGAAACGTGCTGTGCATTATGGGAAGCTTTGCTGAGAAATATTTCAAAGCACTTCGTTCACATGATGCATGGAAGAACATATCAGAAGAATTCACGAAACTGTGGAACTTTCCAAATTGCATCAGGTTTCATAGGCAGAAAACACATTGCCATTAGGCAATTCCAGCTTTTGACTTATGCAAATAGGGGGGTGATGGTATTAAGGTATCATGTTGCTGAATATGCTGAAAAATTTCAATAAAAACTGGCTGAAACAACTGAAATATTTCAATATTTACAAGTATAAGCTATCACCCTGTGCTTACATGGGCAATATTTTTTCAGCATAGTCAGCAACATGATACCTTACTTCCCATCATCCATTGCATCTATAAACTAAAAACTGGAATTGCCTATTGAATGTCCCAGTGACACTGAATCCCTCTGTTACAACTATAAGGGATTTTTAGTGTCGTATTAATGGCTGTTTGTGAATGTTCACTGTGTTTATAGTTTAGTAAATGTAGGAGACTTTAGTTCTAATAATGACAGTGGAGTTTAGAAAATTCAACAATGGGCAAAGCTTTTGCAAGTAATCAAATGGGTTTTCCTGATAACAACATGTAGAAGGTTGTAAAGTACCACTGTCATACTTCCTTGTTGGAGATGATATTTTTGCATTAAAAAGCTGGCTTTTGTGATCATTCCCCAGATGGTCTAAATTACCAGAAGATCAAAAAACGTTTAAATATTGTTTATCTCGAGGGTGACGTGTTAATGAAAATGCTTTTGGCATTCTAAGGGCAAGATGGCAATTTTTTAGCCATTCCATCAAGGGTTCAGTGGAAAATGTTATTAAAATCACCAAAGCAGCTGTTTGTCTCCATAATTACCTCAGGATAACTAACAGTGCATCATACTCTCCATATAGGTTTGTGGACAGTGAAGACAAGAGTGGAAATATTAAACCTTGGGAGTGGAGGGCAGTTGTTGTGAATGAATGAAGGAATTAATGCTTTGCTAAATATGCTTCCACATAAAAAACTTATAAATAGATTATAAATATATGAAACATTTATATTTATAATAAGTGTTTTAGTTCATATTTTATATATTTACATTTTATAATGTGCAGCTTTGCATATGCGAGGATGAAAAGCGTGTGTTAACTAGGGCTGCTGGACTGGTTCAGTGAAATAAATATAACTGAAATGCTACCTCTAGCCCGAGATTTGAAGCCAAACTTGAAGGCCTAGTCCAAGTATTTTTATGCATGCGAAGAGTGCTCAATCAGTCAATCATGATATAAACATGCATCTCTGGGTGTCAGAGTTGGTTTCAAGAAAAAGATAGGCAGTTTATCTGAAAGTAGCATCACAAAAAAATTCAGGGTCAATATTATTGATTTTTATGACATATCCAATGGCTGTAGAGAGATGCTCATATGGATTATAGGCCAAGATATGTCTTGTCGACCAGAATACTACGAACTGTATTTCCGTTTGATGCATTCATTTCATTTATGGATAATACATCATCCTTTTTGAAGTACAATGAATCTCCAAATATTGCCAGCATATAGACACTATAATGGAAATCACTTGAACATATATGCTCAACAAAATTCAATCTCCAACACGTTTGGTTTAGGGCTCTTCGTTCATAGTGATTGGAATAAATATAAAATGAAACACTGTAGTATAATGAATCTATTGAACAAATTGTACTTGTAAAACCTTTGACGATTGACCCAAGTCCCCAGACCAGTGTGAGTGAACTAGGCGACAACTGCAAAAAATGTAAATTCTGATCCACCTGCATGGTTAGCAGAGGTTTGCTCTACATTTAACATATAGACAACTACAATCAGACAATCAATCACATATAGACAACTACAATCATTGACAAATGGGTTGAAACGAATGCACTTGCTCACTCCTATCACCCCCTCTCCCCCCAATCAATGTTGTTACGACCGTAATGACGTCTTCAAACACATATATTACTGGTTACATCAACATTGTTTGGGAGGGGAGGGGGCTATCTGAGAGAGAATAAACGTAAATATGTGGAAAATTTTCGGTCTCATTTTAAATTTCATCTCTTGTAAGACATCGTTTCAATTAATTTTGTCAATGATTGTCTGTATTTTTCATAATTACTATTTCTGTATTTTTCATATGTTAATATATATATCTAGGACATATTTACGTTGTTTGAACAAATTATCACCAAATAAATTCATAAATTGCATTATCTTCATATTTCGTGTGTGAGAGAGAGTAATTAATAAAGTAAATTATCTTGTATATTAGCTGCACTGAGACAAAACTGATTGTGAACTTGGATGTTTTATCACTTAAAGTTACTATCAATTCAATTCAATTAGGCGAGAGTATTTCAAACATATACAGTACATTCTGTTGTTTTTAGCTGAATGAGAATATCAACAGTCAATATTTGAATAAAATAGTATTTTCAATTAGGTAAATTACCATACAGGGAATCTAAGGCCTGTTTCAAACGTTGCGCTTCTCATGTGCCGAATGCATTAAAAACAATAGATAATCAGCTGAAATGCCTCATTACCTACTGTTTCCAATGCGTTCGGCACACTAATTGCCTTAATGGATGATTGAGTCATTTTGATCAAATAAATATTACTATTAAGCTTTCAGATCACCTTACACTTCTTGCGGAACTTCTGTCGTTGCAATGGAGTTACTTACACAGTACGAAAGTTCTACATCCAGTGATAGCAATTTTGAGCTTGACTCTCGGCAAGTTCGACAGGTATACTTGGTCACTTACAGCCAAGCAAATACAACAAAATTTCCAACATCAAGGCGTTCCTTTGCTGAAGCTGTTGTTAGATCGTTTACTCAACGAACCGCGTCCGTAATTCAATGGTGCTGTGCCCAAGAAAACCATCTGCGTTCAGGAGTGCATTTTCACGTACCAATAAAAATAAATAAAAATCAGCGTTGGTTGCCCGCGAAAAGATATCTCCAGGAAACATACGGCATATCTGTACACTTTTCAAGCATCCATGCAAACTATTTCACAGCTTGGCGCTATGTCACAAAAGATGATATTGCCGACTATGAGGAAAGCGAAGGGCATCCAGATCTCACGAATGCTTGTGAACCACCCACTATGAAGGTACACGAAGCACTGCGAAAAAAACGCAAATCTCGTTTAAGACGCGAATTGGCAATATCCTCAAACGCTGTTCAGACTGAAAACGAACATGCTTCTGAGATTGCAAATGCATGCAAAGCAAAAGAGGGTCGCCCAAGGAAACGTCAACGTCTTACTTCCTACCAAGTCTCGCAAATAATTGTGGACAAAAATATTCAGGACCGAACGGAACTGATGGCTTTTGCAAATATTCAGAAACGAGAAGGAAAAACTGACCTAGCAGAATTTGTCTTAAATCGCGGCACGAAGGTGGTAAACATAGTGATTTCTAACGCTTGGGAAATGAAAAAAGCTGAAGAAACACTACGGAGAAGAAATACATCTCGTATAGACATATTGCAAGAAGCTTATGAGGCAGAATGCACATGTGAGACACACAGAGAGTGGGAGATATGTGCTTTGGAGATATTACATAATAATGACATACCAGCACATCAATTTGCCATGTGTGTAAAAGAGTCTCTCGTGAAAGGGCGAGGAAAGTGCAGGAATGTAATGCTGACGGGTCCAGCCAATTGTGGGAAGAAATTTTTATGTTGGAGCCGAAAATTCTGAAGTGATTTTCCTCAATGATTTTCAATGGTCCCACAAATCATAGCATGGCATGATCTACTTTTATTGCTCGAAGGTCAGCAAGTCAACTTACCTGCTCCGAAGTCTCATTTCGCCAAAGATGTGACATTTAAATCTGACACGCCTATTTTTTGCACGACTAAACAACCGCTAAACTATGTTAAGAACGGATGCGTAGACGATCGCGAGACCGAAATGATGAGTGCCAGATGGAAAGTGCTTAATCTCACGCACCAGATGTCGGAAGACAAACAACGGGAAGTGCTACCATGTTCAAGGTGCTTTGCACAACTTATATTGCAAAATGATCATGAAAATTAACTAAGTCTGGGCGATATACTTACATGCTAGTGATATAATATTATATTACTGTAATTTTGCGTGAACATTGAGTGAACACATCAGGCAACATGTTACAATGAATTTTGCAGTATCATATACTTAACCGCACTTAACCCTTAACATATTTAATACATAAAATTAACTTCAATGATTCTATTATTTTAAATTATTGGTTAACTGTGGTTAGGTGTGGTTAACTGTAGTCCATAGCGGTAATTAACTGGTTAACTGCTGCATTGATAGTGGTTAAGTGTTGCCGGATCACAAATATCGCAGTTTCATCATTATTATATGCCTTGCATTTATAGCTCGACTTTTTAACTGGCCCTTATATTGTTGTGATAAAACGATTTATTCATGATAATTGACAAACAACAAAACTGATAAGAATGATTGATCGCATACGTATAATTATACAATAGCTTCAGCTAAGAAATGCCGTTTACAGAATTATACACATTAGTTTTCAAATTGTATGGTGTAAGCAAAAAGTAATAATTAAATGTTTATTAATATTTGGTCCGTTTTCCATTCGTTTGGACAATTTCCTGCAACCTCTTCGTCATTG